AAACACATCGGTTCTCGATTCAGGTACCCGTTCGGGTATTTAATTTATGAAGAACCGCTCGATTCGGTTCGGGTTCGGTCCGATTCGGTTCGGGACTTTTGGACACCCCTAATCACACATCTCACTAACTTCTATCAAAATCTAATAAAAAATTGATTTTAGTCCCCACCAAACAGTAGCTTAAGAAAGGTGAAGTGAGAGGAGGGATGTTGGTTTTGTACAAGGAGAAAAATTCTGGGGTAAAAAATGTGTTGTAACTGTAGGGACTTGGATGAAAAGTTTGGTAAAAAACGATACAGGATTCGTTCTTCCCATACGGCCATTGGAAACCACTGTCCACTATTCCAAGATCAAGGAAAGGTCACGAGGCTGAATTCACTCTTAAAACTAGTTTCCCAACATTCGCTAGCTACGGTGAGCCATTTATACATGGCACCCCCATCGTGGGAGTTTCCAGGATTGATCAAAATCTCGGTGCACGGTGGCCGCCCATGTGAGCCTAATCAACGGACATGGGCTGCTTCACCTTTTGTGGTGCACATTCCTTCTTTATGCACCAGTTGACATACCAACTATAAATGTGGTGATCTTGCGCATGTCGCTCTCCTACCATCAGAATTTGTATTCTTCCCGGCTGGTAAGGCTGACAGAAACCGTTTCACAAGAAAATTGGGAACTACGATCACTGTTTGAGAGAATTCAAAGGATTCGGCACCGCCGTGTGAGCCTAATGAGCGGACATGGGTTGCTCCACCTTCATAGTGGAGTCTCTTAGGCAATGGATAGGAGGAAGACTCGGAAACCTCGTCGATTCCAATGGGCCCATGATGACAGTCTCGGATGTATTCGATGACCTCCGATGAGGATTGTGTTTTGACTTTGTTGGTGGGGACTTTGGGAAGGACGTGGTTGTCGGTGAAGGGTTTTCAGGGCATGGAATCAAGAGGCACCAGTAGTTGGGAGGATACTGGATGATCTTGTGACTGTTGGTGAGGCAAATGGTCTGTTGGACCTCGAGTACTTCAGCATAGAAAGATTTTAGGGGTATCGGAAATGTTAAGCTCCTGTTTGGTGTAGATTAAAAGCTGATAAAAACTTAGATCAAAGTCAACAATTAATTTTAACAACATTTCATGAACCCCTCAACTTTTAACTCGCACATTTCTTCAATTTTTTTTTTTTTTCAAAATCTACTAAGAATACTATTTTACTCTACAGGCTACAGCTAAGGATTTTGAGATTCCAAGTCAATTCTCATTAACCGATTTTCTCAAAGTCAATGTCATTTCCCCCTCCCCCTCTAGCATGTCCCATTCTTGATCAATGTTAATTAATAAACCTGTAACTATGGAGCAAATACGTTAAGGTTTTGCTGGTGTTACATAATACCTTTCCAATTTTTAAAACCTACTCATAACCAATAAATTTTTTTTACCAAAAACTTGATAAAT